TCTCCCACCATTTCTGCTAAGAAAGGGGAACAGCCAGGACTCAAAAAAGCACTTGGTTGTCGCTGCACAACCCCAGTCCTCTGCACCCCTCCGGCTTTGTTTCAAATCTAGTGTCTCTGTGTGCACGCTACTTATTTCTTCCCCCCCCGCCCCTCAGTCTCCTCGAGACTGGGAAGATGGCAGGCTATTTCGATCTCACCCTGCCGCATCCAGGGAGGCTGGCACCAGCCGCTTTTGCCCCCTGCCAAGTGGAAGGGATGCTACCCGGTTTCCCGGTGTTGGTGCTACCTCCCCATAGGAAGGTAGGACTGGAAGATCACAGCCCATCAGAGAGTTTGATCTCACCCCCTGTTGTCCCAGGAGGCTGGCACCACCCCCCTGCCAAATTCAAGGGAAACACTAACTTGTTTTCCAGCATTGGTGCTAACTCCCAGTAAAGCTTTTCCATGGGACGGCAGGACTGGAAGGGAACTTCTGGGCCATCAGGGTCAAAGTTTTGCAGGCAACTCTATCTTAAAATGCTCATCAAGCCCCTTTTTAAAGGAGTTTCCTCTGGCTTTTGGCTGGTCTCCTGAAGAAATGCTATCCCAGAGTTTGCCAGGATCCCCCAGTGCTCACCTAGGACTAGGAAGATACCTTTGCTTGCTGTCATCCCTTTGGAGTAAGGCAATCGGATTGCAACACCGTTCCCATTTGTGCGTGAAAACCAGAGACGAGAAGAAAACTCTGACTCTGGTCTAAGGACAAGGAGCAGGTGTGTTCCCCGCCGCGTGGGCAATGCCATGCTTGTATTTCATTTAAAAAGCCCTGCTCGGGAAGTGTCTGATCGGGGCCAGTATGATAGCCACGAGGTCTGCAAACTCTCTATTTGGCAGAGGCAGAGGTGAGACTACTGTGGAGCAGGGGCTGCGTTCTCCTTTCCTTCAAGTGGGATCTGTCCCAGGGATGAGTCTGGCTACAAGGTCCCCGTGCTGCGACATCCCTGACTTTTGCATTGGGGGGGATCACTGTATGGGGACCAGATCCCAGCCTATTTGATTCAAGCCCTGCTGATCTCTCTCTTGGGATCTGTGCCTTGGTCCTTATCATTGTCACAGGCACAGCTGTTGCATTTGTCCCTGGACACGGTGTGCTTGTGTGTGTCCCAGACTAGAAAAGTCACGGGACTGGCTTGCACACACATTGCCCTTTTCACTGGGGTTTAGGGAGTGTCTAAATGCACGGATGCTTCTCTGCCATTGCAGTCCAGGGACAACAGTTCGGATGCACTTGGCGGTGACCCAGAACAAGCTGTTAGCCTTTCCTATCCTGCAAGCTCAGTTAGGGTTTGTCCTGGGACAACGAACTGGGAAGTCTGAACAATCACGCTTTGTCCCAGGAGAAAAATGGGTTCTCTCAGGATAAACGTGACATCTGTTTGTAGCCTCAGGGCTTTGGGGAACTAACCCTTCGCGCCCAGTGCATCTACTTCCACTGCAGCATCTAAGGGGGTTTTTGTTCCTTCTCCATTGCAGGCAAGTCCTGGAAGGCTCTGTCCCCTTCCCAGAAGAGGCCCTATGTGGAGGAGGCGGAGAGGCTAAGGGTGCAGCACATGCAAGATTACCCCAATTACAAGTACCGGCCCAGGAGGAAGAAACAAGTCAAGCGCATCTGCAAGCGGGTGGACCCGGGATTTTTGCTGGGGAACCTCTCCCGAGATCAGAACTCGGTGCCGGAGAAGCGGACCTGCAGCAGGGCGGCAGGAGAGAAAGAGGGGCAGGGTGAGTACTCGCCTCGCCCCGTGCTGCAGAGCATCAGGGGATACAGGGAGGTTCAGGCCAGCAGCAGCAGCAGCAGCAGTGCCAGCGCCAACATGGACACTTACCCCTACGGGCTGCCCACCCCGCCTGAGATGTCTCCCTTGGACGTGATAGACCCTGAGCAGAGCTTCTTCTCGTCCCCCTGCCCAGAAGAGCATTGCCACCCCCATATGCCAGGGCCCACCTACTCCCCAGAGTACTCGGCCAGCCCCCTCCAATGTAACCACCATCCCCTTGGCGCCATACCCGTGCCCCAGCCTGGCACTTCCATGATCCCTGCGGTCTCCAGCTGCCCACCCCCTCCTCCTCCGCCGCCTCCCAGCTACTACGCGCCAGCCTTTCACCCCCTCCACACCCCGAACCTCCACGCTCACCTGGGCCAGCTTTCCCCGCCGCCGGAGCATCCCGGCTTCGACAGCCTGGACCAGCTGAGCCAAGCCGAGCTCCTCGGGGAGATGGACCGCAATGAGTTCGACCAGTATCTCAACACCCCCGGCCACCCTGAGCACAGTGGGGTGTTAATCGGCGGACATGCCCAGGTGCCCCAGGCTGCAGGTGGCTCTCACTCTTCGGAGACAAGTCTCATCTCTGTCCTAGCAGATGCCACGGCTACCTACTACAATAACTATGGCATCTCTTAGGCCAGGAGGCACGGGCCCCGTGGACTGGCTGAGGAAAGACCCTACAGTATTACTGGCATTGCTCCTTGCAGACAGCATCCGCCTCACCTCAGGGTTGCCAAGCCTGAACTGCAATGGCTTTGGAGTCTCCTTCCTGTCCTGGGTCATGGATTCTGTGTCTGGGACATCCGCTGGCATAAACGTTGAGTATCCTACTTCACGAGAGAGTTGATATTCTCCAGAAAGGCCCTTTTCCAAGCCAGCTGGTGGATGGCTAAGACCCTCTTTCTGCTTGACTGAGCGGGCGTGTCGAGCCTGTGGATTACGGGCCTGAGTTTTCCCGGGCGCAGAGTCCCCGCCACTCCAGCC